TCAGATCACATTTTGTCCGGCGTCCGTCTGTCTGTAAACTTTTCACATTTTCGACTTCTTAAGAATCGCTGGGCCAATTTCAACCAAACTTGCGACAAAGCATCCTTGGGTGAAAGGAATTCAAGTTTGTTCAAGTGAAGGACCACGCCTTTATTCAAGGGGAGATAATTGGGAATTGATGATAATTTAGTGGCATGTTTTAAAAATCTTCTTCTCAAGAACCACTGTACCAGGAAAGATGACACTTATGGGGAAACATCCTCAAGTAGTGCAGATTCAAGTTTGTTCAAATCATGATGCCGGGGGTAGGGCGGGGCCAAAATGGCCGACCAAAGTTTTACATAGAAATATATAGGAAAATTCTTACAAAATCTTCTTCTCAAGAATAACAAAGCCATAATTGATCATATTTATATGGAAGCATCCTCAGGTAGTGTAGATTCAAGTTTGTTCAAATCATGACCCCCGGGGAAAGGGCGGGGCCAAAATGGCCAATCAAAGTTTTACATAGACATATATAGGAAAAATCTTTAAAAATCATCTTCTCAAGAATAGCAAAGCCATGATTGGTCATGGGGCTACTCTGAGATTTAAACTTTTCAATAATAAACCATTTTCTACTTTTTCCTAGCCACAGTGCTCAGGTGAGCGATGTGGCCCATGGGCCTCTTGTTGTCGTGTCCGTCCGTCTGTCTGTCTGTTTGTTCGAAAAAACTTTAACCTTTCCCCTAACTTTTTATTTATTGGAGCTATGACTTACATATTTTACATGTGTATTCCTTGTGACAAGACCTTTTTTGGGGTACCACCAATTTTGACTCTTTAAGCTTGACCTTGAAGTTTACCCACTTTTACACAAAAATTCCAAACTTTTACTTTAGCCATATCTTTTGAACAGTAAATACCAGGACATTTTTACTTTCACATAATGTATTCTTTGTTGAAAGACCTTTCATTGGATACCTCCAACTTTGACCTTTTGACCTTGACTTTGAAGATTTTGGTACTTTTCAAAAAACTTTAACCTTGGCCCTAACTTTTGAACGGTAAGGGATGGGGCTTTCATACTTCACATATGTAATCATTCTGAGAAAGCCCTTCATTGGATACCAAGAACCTTGACCAATGACCATTGAGTCTTGACCTACTTTAAATAAGCAAACTTTTACCATAACTTTTAAAGGGCTGAGGTTATTGCTTTCATACTTCACATATTTAATCCTTGTGACAAGACCTTTCATTTGATAGCAAGACCTTTGACCCTTTGACACCTTGACCTTGGAGTTTGACGTTCTTTTAAAAAAAAATTTAACCTTGGCTATAACTTCTGAATGGTTAGGCTAGGGCTTTCATACTTTGCAAATGTATTCCATGTGGCAAGACCTTTCATTGGATACCAATTACCTTGACTTTGACTTTGGAGATTTTAGTCCTTATGAAAAAATTTTAACCTTGGCCATAACTTTTGAACGCTAAGGGCTAGTGATCTAATACTTCAGGCCGGAATTAAAAATATCTTTATTTCCCCTAACCCGACCCTAAATTCTCAACATGGGTCGGTAGGTAGGTAAACAATTTTATTTTCTGACAGCAGCCTTGAAAATACATTCTAAAATTTAATGGAAAATTACATTTATAGATAAGAAAAGTACCAAATAAAGTTATTTGTGAACAAATTCCTAAGTATCATACATATGCCGTTTAAAAGCAAAATTCATGATTAATTAATTCACAAATGTGATTTAGATGAACTTGTGAAATATCTCACGCCAGAGTACATTTATATAAATCGAATAAAAAAAGACAAGGTTCTGAAATACGCAAAGACTGGACAACCGAGTATATTTTTTCAAACCTTCAATCACCCTCCAGTGCTTATGTATAGACAGTCAATGTACTTTTTGAGGGCCATGAGATTTGCAGTGGTTCTAGAGCATTTTGCTTTGGCGTTAAGGCGTAAGTGGTTAATTTTAAGTCGCAGGTTTGAATACCAATGAGGAACGTCGAAAACGGTCCTTCAAAAGGGACCATAAAAACTTTTGTCCAGTGTCGCAAAAGATGCTGGCTCAAAAAAGATCCCACTGCTTAATGGCAAAAAAGTGCGTAGTATGTCTAAATTTGGGGCAATGGGGGAAATGTTCAAATGTCGTCCCAACAAATCTCGAAGGGATTAAAAGCAAAGAAACAACGCATTTTCAAGTACCTAATTAAAGAAAATGACACTGGACGTCTCAGGAAGCTGAATTATGATTTCAAAACTATTCGGAAAGAGTATTTAAACAATATTTAAATGAACCAAACCGAATCTACAAATGATAAAAATGCTATATAAAACAATGTCATAGTCACGAAGTAAATGAAGGCATGAAAAAGTACAACTGAATTATATTTATCAGGATGAATATGCAGACATATTTATAACAACTCCTATGATTCCATAATGGCATATAGTTAACATAGGAACATAGATGAATTGTTTTAGTAGATCAAAACTCAAATAAAATAAAATGCAGTGAAATTGAATGATGTGTTCACCAGATGGGCCCCTCGTCTGCTCATGAGGCTTGCTTTTCCATGTATTACGTACCTGAAATTCAACAGACAGATTTGATTGTTCATTGTTTTCGAAAATTTATTCACTCACATGGAGACGCCAAGACACCTCCGAAACATTCTTAATTAGTCATGGTAAATTTTATTCTCAAATTGTTTCAAGAGTGAAAAATTCTAGTTAGCTAAAGGCGTAAGATTGAGACATCGCCATAGTTTTGTGAAGAACTACTTCTCTGTAATCACATCTGGGCGCTATTTTGTTTCCATCAAATGCTTGAAAATCAAAGTAGAACAATGTCGGCCGTTGTATTTTATAATCAATTAAAAAAAAATTTGAATCATCTTATTTAAAAAATCTTTTCAGTCGGCGCGTTTTAGTTGGGTCGGTCGCGTTAGGGGAAACAAAGGTATTTTTTATTTTGGCCTCACATATGTAATCCTTGTGAGAAGACCCTTCATTGGATACCAAGAACATTGACCTTTTGACCTTGACGTTTGATCTACTTTTAAATAGCAAACCTTGACCATTACTTTGAAAGGATAAGGGCTTGTGTTTTCATACTTTACGTATTTAATCCTTGTGACAAGACTTTTCATTTGATAGCAAGACCTTTGACCTTGGAGTTTGACCTACTTTGAAAATTTTTAATCTTGGCCATAACTTCTGAACGGTGAGGTCTTGGACTTTTTTTGTGGCAAGATCTTTCATTGGATACCAATGACCTTGACCTTGAAGATTTCTGTACTGATGAAAACACTTTAATCTTGGCCTTATTTTCATATTTCACAATTGTATTTCCAGTGAGAAAAACCCTACTTTTGGTAACAATATATTAATTTTGCACTTAAGAAAAGTTTAAGCTTTACGGGGGCATCAGTGTTTTACAAACACATCTTGTTCTGTAATGATGTAACCCCACGTTTTTAGCCCGACCTTTGGGGGTTTTTTTAATGGCCTGGGTTGCCTCTGCTGTTCGTTTTGGTTTTACCAGTTCAGTTTTTGCTTTCTGACTTAATGTAAGATTGTACCAGGTGGTGATGGTTCTTTTGGTGAAATATCCATTTCAATGACCTTCTCTCTTGGTAGAACCATGGAAGAGATGTGGCTTGCATATGTAGATGTGCATCAGAAAATTCAGATTACTTTATCTTTTCGGGATTTTCGGCACTTCGAGTTTTGGGGGAGCGTGGGGTATGTGAGCTTGCTCACTTTTTCTTTCATTTGACACAGTATGCCATAAATAATGACATCTCACCAACAAAGACACCGAAAGTTGGGGACAATAAGTTTGCTTGATTTAACATTTGAACAGCTACTGGTCCTGTACCAGTAGCCGTCTAAAAATGGAGGTTTTTCTTTCATTGCTTCACTATTTGACATAATTTGGAGATAAGACTTGGCATATATAAAGCTTTACTCTTGCTCTATCAGAATATATAATTTTTTTGCTAGTCCTACTTATGAAACTTTGTTTTCATACCGTTAAAGAGCGGTAGGGTAGGACGCCATTTTCCCGTATGCACTGTACCAGTTACCGTCTACGTCATTTCTAATGATTCTGGGGCCTCCTGCAGGGGAATTATATTCGCACTCACTCGTAGGTTTAACATTTTGTCTGAGGCAAATCTTTTTATGGCATAAGTATACCTTAATGATACTACACAGTATTGTTGCCCTTGACATTAAGATGGGTCAATACCTTGACCTAGGTCATACCTTCAAGGTCAAGGTCATAATGCACTTAGGTAATAAAATTTTATCTGGGTCATAACTTTTTACTGCATGGACAGTTTTTGATAATATTTCACAGTGTTGTTGTCTATCACCAAAGGATAAGTCATGACCTTGACTGAAGGTCATATCTTCAAGATCAAGGTCATACTGTACCTAGGTGCTGAAATTTAGCACTGGCCATAATTTTTTACTGCATGGACAGTTTTTGATAATATTTCACAGTGTTGTTGCCTATCACCAAAGGATAAGTCTTGACCTTGACCAAAGGTCATATCTTCAAGGTCAAGGTCATACTGTACCTAGGTGCTGAAATTTAGCACTGGTCATAACTTTTTACTGCATGGACAGTTTTTGATATTTCACAGTGTTGTTGCAGATCATCCACGTCATACAGCGGGATTCGCAAGAATCATCAGATCTTTGCGCCCGCCGCTCTAACCATTGTGCCACGTCAGCGGCTCTACTACTGCATGAATGGATTTTGATAATGATTCATAGGATTGTTGTCATCACTCATGACCCAAGGATAAGTCATAATTCCATGGTTAAATTCATACTGTATTCTCCCTTGTCATTGATATGAAATGTCATTGCATTTTATTCCTTTTAACATAGCAAATGATGCTCTATAATATGACACACCGATCAGTATTTTCTCATCACAGTCTTTGCTCACCACCGCCAATATCTATTATAATCATATGTAATAGTTCTACTCTTCAAATAAAGACAAACACTCATCACACATGTACTCCTCATTCTCACCCAATCCAATATTTGAACAGCTCCTGTGCACCCATCCATCACATAGATTACATTGCACCCATTCAACAAAATCACTCTCCGTCTCTGCAACCGGATCAATCCCATTACACACTAAGCATACATCACTAGTTTTGCTTTGTTTTCTCATTCTTTTCCTTTCTCTGATAACCCTTTTCCTTTCCTTGTCTCTCTCTGCTTCTTTTTTCTTTTCTACCCTTTCTGTCTTCTTTTTTTCAGCCATCAATCGTTTCTCTTCCGAAATTCTCTCTTTCTCTTCTCTTTTCTTAATTCTCTCAATCTTCCTGTTTTCTTTATCCTCTTCCGTCTTTTTTACAGCTTCTTCCTTTTCTTCCATTTGAAGTATGATAGCCTCTCCTTCAAATATGAAATATTATTTGTTATTCTATTTTTATTACCGGGAGCAGGAGGTCAGTAGACCTCTCCCATAAATGGTACGATATTTAGGGGCATATTGCATGCATTTGAAATTAGAATACATAAGATTTTGAGGGAAATTTATGTGAAAACAGAAAAAAATACACGAGATTACCAGTTAGTACTCTTGCTTCCGTAATAAGTTTTGCGCTTGCTCTTTTTAGTTGCTGACTTTTCACAGGAGGGACCAAAATTGCCCCAAGTTTTTCAGGAATCAATCCACTTCGTACTAATGGATTTGTCAATGAAGCAATGGAGCATACGTCCACGTCTATTGAATCCCCACACTTGTCACACAAAATCTGTATGCTGCGTGAATCTGTTTGATATTAACAAAGAATTGTTTACAGATGTTTAGTGGGAAATTATAGTAAGTAGGTGAATAAACTACTAGATTGTATGTTTAATACAGATGAATGTACATGCATGCATCACCCGAATTAGAGCTAGTAGTTTCTTTATTTTTCTCTGAGGCGTCTGTCTGTGATTGTATTTGTGTTTTATCAACAGCACCTATGTCAACTGGATACATTCCAGCCTTTCGGAAAGCAGCCTTTACCCGTGCCGGAGAGCATACACTATCAATGGCTGTGCTGAAATGATGATTATTGCAACAGTTTTTAGAGAACTATTTAATTGACGCTTGATACCTAGTTATTTTATTGCAATTAACTAAGAATTAATCTATATATCCTACCAGGTTTATGAGATTGATAACTGCTCGTTATTTTACCCGACCAGTTGCACAATTCCCTCTTAGTCATTGGACATAAAAGGAAATATTTAGAGTTCAAAATGATTTCATTAAGATATCTACCTTAAAAGGGCGGGGAACTTAGCTTTCCCTATCTGGACATTACTGCTAAGGTAGCCTAACACAGAAGCCAGAGACGCCAACTTCTCCTTCAAAGGACCAAATATGCCCACGTCTAAAGGCTGAAGAATATGTGTGGTATGGGGAGGAAGACCGATGATATGAATATCATGAGAAATCGACAGCTTCAACAAAGACAGCGAGATGTGCGAATCGTGGTTATCGAAGGTTAATAGAACTGGCCTCCTGCTACCGCAAAATGGAATGAAAATTTTCTCAAACCACAATTCGAACAACTCGCTGTCCATGTATCCACTGTCAGACGACCCATATAACCAGTTTGCGGGTACACCCTCCGTGAAGTTTCTATGAGGTAACGATCCTTCAAAGATGAGATATGTAGGAAGGACCCTACCATCTCCTGCTACACATATGTGGGCCTGTCAAGAAAAAGGGAATAGAAATAAGAAGAAAAAGAAATTTACAGAAAACACCTCGGTTGTCAATGCTTTTCTCCGGATGAAAATTCTAAATAATACCCTCAGCTAAATACTAATATATATACATCTACCAATCAAAGGGAGTGATGTATTTTTTTATTATTATTTTCTGATCATCCATTGTCCGTCGTCTGTCTGTTATACCTTTACTACTCGACTTCAAACCAGTTTGTCATGAAAGATACCGTTATATGGGAATTGGTCAAATTCCTCTGCTGATATGCGTGGGTTCCCTTGTTCACAATGACTTTTTTCTTGCTCTTTTCCTTTCCTAAGATATAGATATAAGTAAAACATTGGACACATATTAGAAACTTAGGACAACTTATCTTAAATGTCCTATTCATGACGATACATCAAAACTGATTTGTGGGGGACAATCGTTTCAGTGCTTTTTAGTGCCGATTAATCACACGTGCTTTTCGCGCGTGTTTTGTTGTTCTAAAAACATGATAATTTTATCTTTATGTAGGTATAAAAAAGAAAACTGATTTGGAAAACTACTCATCAATGCGCTAGCCTACAGTACATGGTGAAGCTTTCCGGCAAATTTTCGTTTCATGCCATCATTAATATATATATGTAATGTGCAGAAATTAAATAAGTATTTGTGAGCCATTTTACCCATTGAATATACTGTGATGATTGATATGCCTTTGGTGTCACAAAATTTGATTTTCTTGCCAACATGACATCATTTTCCACACGTAAATGCCCTTAATTGTACAGTGTAAATTGACCTGAGAAGCATACCACTAAATCCTGTCTCGTCGCAGTTAAAAATCTGCGACGGTTTGTCTTTCAGTTCTAAATTCTTCATCGTATCCTCTAGGAGGGTGAAGTATTGTTTCATGACAGTCCAATTGGACATGCGGGAGCGGGCCTTATCCTGTGTCTCTGGAGTCCTCTCAGCAAGCAGGGGGTATCTGCGAAAGAAATTCCTACACCACTTGTCCGATGGGCCTTTATCTAGGTTAAAAAGTGTGTCACGCCCACTTTCCTTTACAATAGCGACGACATAGGACTGAAATCGACGATAGGTCTTCATTATAATACAGAAACACTCTTTTGTTACATATTTTATTCACAAGTTATTAGTCAATAAATATTTTTACTCATATTTGACATTTTTTTATCTAGATAATATTGTCTAATTTTCTGTATTCATAATTAATTTAGCTTTCTTTGATTATGAATAATTGTAGTTTTTTCCAATTGAAACTTTTGTTTGGATGTATATGAATTATGTTGAATTTGTATTCATGTAGATATGTCATTGGAATGTGCAGGTCTGGTCTAATGGTTTTGGTAAAGATTCCAGCAAACCAATTTTAATCAAACTCAGTGGCGGATTTAAGGGGGGGCGCACCCGGCGCGCCCCCCCCCCTAAAATTGTCAAAATTAATGTAAATCACAGTTTTGTCTAGAAAATGTAAATATGTATACTTGATAGACCTCATTTTTACCCTACAAAATCTCTAGAATTCAGGAGCTTCCGGGGGCTGGGCCCCCACCAGGGCTTTCCCCTGGACCCACTGGGGGCCTAAAGGCGGCCCCCAGACCCCTTGCCTACTTTTGGCGCCCCCTCTAACTTCAATTCCTGGATCCGCGCCTGAAACTTCTTCCTTGAGTGAAGGCAAAAGCACAAAAGGAGGAAAATTCATATTCATAAGAAAGGATTCAAAATTAAGCGGCCAGATAGCTCAGTATAGATAGAGCGCCTAGCATGAGATCCTTGGAAACGTCTTTGGATCAAATCTCGGTGTGGCACATTACATTTTTTTCGCTTCCTAATTACATATGTAAGTCATATTAGGAAATCAATAGCCGGTTTTTATATACATTTTTTCAGTAAAGTAAATCATAAAAAGATGCATTAATGAGGAAATAAATGTATGTATTGACCCTAAAAGTGTGATCAGGAAAGATTTTAGTTGAATTTCCTCCACATGTATAATACAGTGATAGGTCATCGGTGGGGAGGGTGTGTGTTGTGTTGGCCTTAAATCGCCTTGATCATATAATTTTTGGACATTTATATACGCACCTTCAGCATTTTCCGAGTGATCGGAAATCCTCTGGTGCTCATATGATTTATATATTCCACCAGACTACTTTCTTCCTCCTCAGACAACATTTTAGATAGTCCTTTGCTTGATTTTTTGTATTTTTCTTTAACTTTGTCGCATATTGTAGACCTCGGGACATTATACTCCCTTGCAGCCTGGTATGGATTTAGTTTTTTGCATTTTACATCTCCCGCCGCCTTCTCCATTGTCTCGGCAGAATACTGCCGTTTCGACATTTTCTCTAAAATGATCGGATGATTCATAAAAATGTTCTATCTAAACCTAACACCCCCCCCCCACTCACACTTTAAAATTTGATATATATAGATTTATTTTATACACCTGTGAAACGTGAAGATCCAAGTTAGAATCCCCCCTTTCCAATCCCCTTAATTGTGTGTCACGGTCGTAAGAGGCAATTGAATGGAGAGAGAGAGGGAGGGGGGGTTAGAATGAAACGGGAAAACCAGAGATCCCGTGTCACAGCAGGTGTAGAACGATAAAAGTCCCTCTATATACTACTATACTGTTCAGTTTCAGATGACAAACAATTTTCTGAGTAATACATAAATCCCCTATTGACCCTCAGTTACAACTTGAGTGCGTCATTAAAAGTGTAATAATCGTCACCCTGAAAACGCGATCAGCAACGCGGATGTTGTGGAACATTATTGGTATAGACCTACATGCAGTACGAAAACTTCACTATGTATCAATATGAAATTATTTCAAATTTGAATGTTAATTCAATTGAATATTACAAAATTTGGTCTCTCTCTCTCTTTCTTTCTCTCCCTCTCTCTCTCTCCCTCTCTCCGGCGGCATATGTACATGGCAAGAAATAGGCCTAGCCCGTAATTTATACTTTTATCATGACAATATATGGTAGATGCCTACTAGATGATAAGATCTAACCCCCACTAATCTGATTATATCCTACATTCACTCATGTAGACGGGTGAGCTAGGGAATCGTATTAATATATTTTTTTTAATTCAGATGCCCCTTTCACTTCCCACAGAATTTTTTGATAAAGGAAAGAAAATTTGTTTGAGCTTTTCCCACATTTCATTTGCTTATATCAAGAATATAAATGTTGACAGGGCTTTGTTTTTACCGAGGCTGACCCCTTGAAAAAAAATGGATGTTTCTTTTTTCACGCAATAATTTCATTTCAATTCATTAAGTGTGAATATCTAGCTACAAACGCTATTTTGGTAGGAATTTAAATGTAAACAGAAGTTGAGAGACAAAAAAACACACACATACACACACAAAATCCAGGAAATAATTTTGTTCTGTGCAAACTGCATAGGTAGACAATTGCAATCATTCCAGTATCAGCTCTCCCATAATTGAGAAAAAATATAGAAATTGTCTTTTCGCATCATGTTGAAGAAATACAATAAAATAAACAAACGCGTTACTGATCGCATCTTAGTTCACGATAACGCGTTTATAGGGGTGCTTTGAGATAAAAAATAGAACAAAACCTCAGTTTCAAAGTTGTGACGTCACTTCCCCACATCATAAACAAGAAGATTATTCGGACGAAACACTGTTTTTGTAAAGTATACCACTATAATATTATCTCTAATGTATGGTAAGTTACTCATGTTTACCTTTCTGTTTGCAGCAGACGATCTTTAAGAAAAATCTCGAAAAATCGCATTTTAAACACGCGAAATGACGTAATAGACGGTAACTGGTACTAGACGGCTACTGGTACAGTACCAGTAGTACCAGGGGTTTTATATTGGCTAGGTTTCAAGTGTCTAGTCCTTCCATTTGATACCAATAATTTTAATCTTGGCCTTCAGGCCTTGGAGTTTGAGTAACATTAAACATTTTGAAAACTCAAACTGTTGGCGATAACTTTTGATCAGCTGACTCTAGGCCTTTTATATTTCATGAGTGCATTTCTCAGTACAAGGCCTTCCCCTGAGTAGCTTTAACTCGACCCATTTGAATTTTGGCCTACATGTACATTTAACTTGTAAGTTGGACATAATGTATTAATGGTTAGTGCTTGGTCTTCATATTTCACAGGGTTATTCATTGAGACAAGTCCTTTCTTTGGGAAACAACATTTTTAGCTCTACTGGTCAGAGACCAGAAGAGCTTATGCGATAGTAATGCGTCCGGCGTCCGTCCGTCTGTCTGATTGTCTATCCGTCTGTCCGTCTGTCTGTAAACAATTTTTCAAAATGCTACTCCTCCTACAGTTTTGGTCTAATTTCAATATAGCTTGGCACACAAGTAGACTACACTAAGATACATAATTCTTTGTATCGGTTTTTGATTTCGATGAACGGTGTTGCCGTGGTTACTAAAAATAGAAATTTCTGTGAAATTCTTTCAAAATGCTACTCCTCCTACAGTTTTGGTCTGATTTCAGTATAACTTGGCACACAAGTAGAATACACTAAGATACATAATTCTCTGTATCGGTTTTTGATTTCGATGAACGGTGTTGCCGTGGTTACTAAAAATAGAAATTTGTGTGAAATTCTTTCAAAATGCTACTCTTCCTACAGTTTTGGTCTGATTTCAGTATAACTTGGCACACAAGTAGAATACACTAAGATACATAATTCTGTTTATCGGTTTTGATTTCGATGCACGGTGTTGCCGTGGTTACTAAAAATAGAAATTTCTGTGAAATTCTTTCAAAATGCTACTCCTCCTACAGTTTTGGTCTGATTTCAGTATAACTTGGTACACAAGTAGAATACACTAAGATACATAATTCTCTGTATCGGTTTTTGATTTCGATGAACGGTGTTGCCGTGGTTACAAAAAATAGAAATTTCTGTGAAATTCGTTCAAAATGCTACTCCTCCTACAGTTTTGGTCTGATTTCAGTATAATTTGGCACACAAGTAGAATACACTAAGATACATAAATCTGTGTATTGGTTTTTGATTTAGATGAACGGTGTTGCCGTGGTTACTAAAAATAGAAATATCTGTAAAATTGT